CTCATTTTAATCAATACTCAGCTGTTTCTGCTCGTGGAACACAATCGACCCCTAACATGAACGCGTCTGAGGGTGTGCACCACTATTCTCATTTTTTGGATTATTTTGTCTACTGCCTCTCACGTGATGGCCGGTTTCACCCTTCCCTCGAGGAAGGCTGTTCTGAACAACTATAAACACCATTCAACTTAAAGAGACGACCTTCTGATTTTTAGCTTACTTAAACATAGAAGATGTAACATTATGTATTAATATGCCCTTATGTTAAAAGCTGGCTATTTTCTGTGACATGCAGGACAGAGGTTGGAAATCAAAACCTTACACCAAAGCTAGAGAACCTCGAGAAGCAAGACAAAACGACAATTTTTCATTATTTTTCGACTGATATCGACAAAATTTCTGTGTCAAGCTACTTGTTTTTCCTCAGTGGAAATAGACAGGTTTTACAGCCCTGTGCACCAAATGTATCTGCTGACAAATCCTGCCTCGAAGCTGTGTTGGGCAAGAGAACATTGCAAGGAGATACTAGTAACACAACAAAACTGCAGTTTCGCTCCTGCCTACCTCTTTCCTTAATAAACAGTTCGAACAATAGGTATAGTGCAATACGTCTCTGAGGAGGTAACCCAAGACAGCTACTCCACGGAGCAAGATAACAGGCGAAAAAAGCCCAAAACAAAATAAAGAGCAAAAGGAGAGGCAGGCAGTGCTGCGCTGCAAGATTAGATGGGAGAAAGATAGAGTGGGTGGGCACTTTGTGAGAGAAGAATTCAGCTAATCTTCTGGGGAAGTTTCTCCCTTTTGTGTTGACAATCAGAGAGGTTTTTGTCAGAAAACCATAATCCTGTTGGTTAATTGGGAGCGTTTAAAGGCCCGGCTGAAAACAGGTGTATTTGTCTTTGGTGGGTCGACCCTCTGTCTGGAGTTTGTTATGAAGAAGGCTGACGTCAGCCGCACGAGGAGGCGAGACAAAGACATCAGTCGTCCTCCCGTAACACCGAATTCTGCTGCTATGTGAGGTTATTCCAGGAAACAACTGTGCAGAAATGCAAGTCACACCTCAAGCATGATCGCATCATAGTGAGAATATTTCAAAAAAGGACACTGTGATGTCATCTGCTGTTTGGCGCGCTCTTGGTTTGAAGCTGTAAGGCTGTCTTCCTGTATAGACTTCGTGCCATAGGACACCAGTCTCAGAATAAGCCTCAAGTGGCCATTTGAGGAACTGCAGCTATTAGCTCTGGCGCTATAGTGATTTGAATTCAGATGTGAATTTTGTTCAAGGATGAATCCTAATCAGTCCATCTGCCATGTTTCTCGCCTTCCTTGAGCACTGAGTGACCCTAAGTGGCATTATTAAGGTGTGATGTCAGTGTGTGGAGGTTTTTGTGGTTGTACCCCCTGCCGGCGATGTCAGCCCCAGCTGTGTTCAGCTCGACGCGGTGCTAGCGAGCCTTTGCTGGAGGGGGTTGCAATTCATTCCCTCTGTCTTTTCTTACAATACTTTCTTTTTTGGCGGGAAAGCACCAAAGACGCTTCTTTCACCCAACTTGTGTTTCTTTGCGGCAGGGCCCGCCTCCAACCTCATACACCATGTCCACCCTGTCTTGATTGATTTTCAGTGCACATTTTGGAAGGGATTAAAGCCATCTGCAGCCTCTCGAGGAACAAAGGGTGCTACTCGCTCTCCACCCTTTAGCACTTCAGAGGGATAACATGGGCAGATAAACATGCTCTTGCACCGCTATACACTTGTTCTCTATTTTGCTTTGACCTCTCAACCCACCCAAACTGCCTACTCTACGTTTTGTCTCCCAAATGTCGCTCCACTCTGTGGACTTACCAGTTTTTCCAAAGTGCTCAGTGCAGAAAGATCGGTGATTTAAAAACAGTGTTGCATGCTGCTGTAGAGGTTTTTCCATGCATATATCAGCATGGCATGAAGTGAAGTTTCCTTTTGGAAATCACCTCTTCCAGCTGTTACGGGGTGTTATGGGAACAAGAAATTGTCAGCTGGGAATCTGGGAAGCCAAAATGTGGTCATAGAAGTCTACAAGGACTCATCCTCAGCTGGTGCCGAGCTGATGGAGAGGCAGCAGGAATCACAACCACCGAGTCAAACGAAGAGGTGGATGGACCAAGTTTTGTATGAGCTAATGTTCAGTTTCCGTGAACTATGGAACAACCATTTGCATCTGTGGGAAAATAAAGCACATTAAAATCCCTGGCTGTGTCTTCATCACTTCTTTGACCACCTAACGTGTGCAACAGTGTAACTCATCACCTCAGCTTATACACCAGATAAAAAATGTAACAGCCTTTGGGATAGAGGCCGAAGAGCTTCAGAGGTCATTTAAGAGCCTTCAGCGCCGTTTGGCACAAAGAGACTGAGGTTTGAGATCGCTGTCAAGTGTGTGTCAGAGCATCGCAACCACTGTTTTGGATCTACGACAGCACAACAACCAGCAGCTGTGGACCCAAGTTATGGGAAAGATTAGATGACGAACCCGTGAAAAGACAGCTCCAGCGAGGGAAAAAGGATCCAGATGAAGGATTAGTGTGAGAAGCCGCACTTAGAGATCTGGCAGCGAGCGTACCGAAAGTTTGTGTAAGAAACGCAGCTGATGATCTGGCAGTTACACAACCACAGAGAGAGAAGCAAAGCTGGTTTCAGCTCTAATAAATAGCCAAAAACAAAACAAAGAAACAAGAAAAAACTACGTTATAACGCTGTAAGCAGTGCTGTTGCATATATTTAGGCCTTATGTTGCGATTGTGTCAAAAATCCCCAGAATCATTTCACATTAGGAAAACTGCAAAACTACCTCCGGGTTTATTATTAAGTTTGATTCATCCTCTGATTTTTTTTTTAAAGCAAGCTGGATAACAGGAAGAGCTTGTGCTGAGCCGCAGCAGTGGGTGGGGTGTTCTGCTGTGCCGTGTTTGGGCGCACCTTTCCCCCCGTCTGCACTCTCATCTCTGGAGCTTTGTCTCCGGCCACTTCCCTCTAAAGTCCGCACCCTGGAACACTCTCCCACTGCTTTGGATTCTCCTTTCTTGAGTGCTTCCTGCTTTGCTAAGCTGAGCATTGAAGGAGTCGCTGCCATCAAAAGAGGATATTTGACGACAATCCCCAAAGTCTTATTGGGATTTTTTTTCTGTTTGTGTGCATTTAAACTGAGCAGTGTAACTGTGGCCTTTTAAGGGGTTCAACCTGGGGTCACAGACAAGTGACAACAATGCAGGAAGTTGAGCTTTGTCAAAATGTCACATGATGTATAGGTAGGGAATATAATTTGAGTGCTCTTTGTTTTGGCTTATCAGCTCTGCAGCAGTAAGCTCAGATGGACTGAAGGGGAGGGGGCTGAGTATTTTTATGTGTGTGTGTGTGTGTGAAGAGCCTGGCAGCTCGAGGCCACCCAGCCAAAGGATGTTATAAAGGGGCACTGAGGCAGTAAATGGTCGGGGAGGCTGGAGGTTCACTCACATCAGCTCCTGAGACAGTGGCGCCAAACCTGTGCCTTTCTACGGGAGTGCAGCCAGACGTGGGAAGCATTCTTTTCAATTAAACTTAAGCACCAGGTTAATTCCCCCAGCTGCTCTTTTCCACATGGCTTTACAGCTCACAGTAAATCTGAGAGTTTTCTGGAGGTGTTTATGCAGCAGTGATCACAGTGATTCCTCATCTATCCATGTTCCGAGCAACTCAACCTCTGAGCAGAGTGGAAAACACATTGATTCGATTGTCTCCTCGTGCACACGCGGTCAGGATAAAGCAGGCGACTGTGTGGCACCTCAGCTCAGCCGGGCCTGCCGTGCCACTCCCTTAATGGCAATTTATTGCTTCCTGTCCTGAAAACGGGAGGCCGAAGACAACAGAATTCTTCTCGCTGTTTTTCGACCTTCCCTTCCCTGTCCAAATACCCTCAGGGTCCCAAACAGTCCCTAAATCTCTCCACCCTTTCAGGCCCTCTCGCTCTCTTCGGCCACGCCATTTGTTCTGCGCTTTCAGGAATCTGATTCATGAGCACTTGGAGTGACTTATGTTCTGAGAAAAGGTAGCCACGGAAGAAGCCTTGCATGCTCTAATGGAGGCTGACCAGTTTTAATGATTTGGTTCTAAGAGGATTAGGGAGCACGAAAAGCTCAGTAGAGTAAGAAAACCTTAAAAAGTTAAAGAAAAACACTCAAACACACACATCTGAAATCTGTTTTTTTAACAGAATATTTTAATAACACAGACAAACATAAAAATAATCCACAATACTGAGACAATACTTTTTTCATGCTTTTCTTTCTAGACTTTCTTATGAACATATTTACAATCACATTATATTCACATTTACACACAAAAATGGCAGTGTACGCATTAAAGGCATACCGCGTCAGCAGATTATGGTCATTTGGTACGAACCCCTCCTCCTTGCTGATATAGTGCACATCAGATCATTCTTTACAGAACTCATTTCACACATTAAATGCATATCTTATTGTTTTCTTGAGCTAGCCTCGTCCAACCAGAGTAATGTCCTTCCAATGAGAGGTTTTTTACTTTTATCATCAGTGTATGAAGTTTGCTGATTATAAAGAGTCGAGTAGCGTTTACTTTCCATCAGTATGTGAGAGCAGAAAGCAGAACGCGATAGGACAACAGTCAGATTTACATCTGCTTTGGCAAGACTCAAGCAGCTTTGCTCTTTACGTTTAAATACTCTTCAAAATCAAAGGCAGTCCAGTCAGCTGTAGTTTTGCAGAAATATTGCATGCAAATTAAACACGTCTTATCTTACATGACTTATAAAGTTTGCATCTCCTCACGGAAGCAGAAATGAATCTCAGACAGGCTACAATAGGAAGGTGCTCTCAGCACTATATCGAGCTGTGAAACCTGCTCGGGTAGCCATAGCTTTGTTACTGTTGTACGTGCTCGCATTTATCTGAACATATATTAAATTCTCAGTTGTTTCACTATGCTACATATAGTTGCTTTTTTTTTTTTAAAACATTTATTTGGTTTTCAGTGCTTGCAGCATCACACTTTCTAGATCATTCCCTTTCATTCAGTGCAAGTTGTTTTTAATGTTTCTCTTAGCGTGGACTTATATAATCTCCTTCATAAAACTAACACTGAAGACAAGTATCACATTGTCCTGTTATTATCTGATAAAATACATTATGAATAGACCGCAGCAACACCTGTGTGGCGTACGCTCCACAGGATGTCAGCTGATAGCCTTGAGCTTTTTATAGAGCTTTTCTTTTTTTCCCTAAGTTTCAATGCGATGACTCTCAGTAGGCCTGAATTAATGGAAAGCTTTTTCATCATTACATCATTTTACTTTGACCATCTTTATGGCATCACTGCTTAAGCTTCGTTTCAGCCGTGTCCCCCCTCAGTGTCACGAAAACCACTGGGCTCTTTGCAACAAGTGACCGCGTATTGCACTGAAATGGTGTCTGAAAAGTCCATTTCACTCCTCAGGCCTTTGGGAAGGCTACGCGAGCCGACAGTCGCCCGTCTCGGCTTCTTCCCGAACGTGGAACAGGGCTGAGTTTGGCCTGGCGCTCAGCACAGCTTCCAATTTTGCGTAGCAGACGAGCTGAGTTTTTGTCTCAGTCTACGGGCAGCTCGCATGGTATCTGCTGGGCTGCTTTGGCTACGGTGTAAGCCCTCTGGAAGTCCTTGTAGCGCGGAGCGCAGCCCAGCCAGGCCTCGCCGAAGTGGACTCGGCCGGTGAAAAGGAAGCTCCCGGGTCCGGGTTTGACGCCACACTGGAGCAGAGTCCTGATCTCGCCCCGGCTGCTCAGGCGGCTGTTCCCGGTGAACAGTGTGTACTTCTGGCGAAACACGCGGGTGGCGCTGACCTTGATCACGGCCGCTCTTAAGTTCTCGTCCTCCTCCACTGACTTGATGTTGCCTCGCACCACTGCAAATTAGGAGGATATTCAGGTTAACATTAAAGCTCATTTCCAGAATAATTATCCAATGCATGTTTTAAGCCTTGGTTCAGACTCTGCGAGCTACCAACAGATAAAAAACCTTAAGAAGTCCCTGACCTGCGTACTAATCAATGAACTTTTGTTCAGTCAGCTCTACTTCTCCTCAGCCCTTTACAGCTCAATCAGAGGCCTGCAGATTAGTCCACTACTCCTTCTCTAGGGGGGTGATGCTGGGGTTAGTCCACTATGGTGCCTGCGGGGGGGGGATTTGCTATTTCACCTTTAACCTTTCCTTTTTTTAAGGGGACATTTGGAGGCAATGTCTTTGGGCCAATCTCAAGATGCAGAGGTCTGGTTTGATGTATATGTAGTGACTTACCAAAATCACTGGTGCAAACAGCCATCAGAATCTCAGTGTTGTTGCAGGGTCTGCAGGCGTCTGGAGGGACAAAATAAAGAAAAGAAAGCTGGAGTCATTTGGTGACCTTAGACAAGACTCTCAACTCCTGAAAGAAACCTGTAGGCTAATGTGCTTGAAATCAGGCAGTACATTTGCAGATCACATGCAGAGGAATGTGATCCAAACCATAAACTGTGCAAAAAAAACCCCCCAAAAAAGCCCAGCAACAAAGGGGAGAAAAACCTGCAACAAACAGCTGCTACTTTTCCAGTTGGCAGCGGAGGTCCAGAGGAGCTGTAAGGTGTGAGGCTCTCCTACCCCAGGCCAAATGAAACTTCCCCCCGTAAAGCCTTTCAGGGTGTCTGCAGTCACATCTCATCAAAGCCTAGACAGAGGCCAGGGAGAGGGGGGAGGACTTCAAAGAAGCCCGATCCAACTTCTTAGAAAATCCTGTACTTTTCTGTGGAGGCTTGACAGCTTTTATTGAGAACTAAAAAATACTTTAAAAAATAGTTTGGCGCCTTACTAAGACACTAAGATTCATAGCGGGTTTTACTGATCAGGCCCAGAAAAGCTTCAGACCAAAACTGTTTGCACTGATTCAACTGTGGAAAAAAAAAAAAAAGTTCTGGCATTTTTTTAAAAGTTCTCCTTGTGGTTCTTTGGAAAACCTCTTGATAAATGAGATTCCTTCCTCTCCAGTCCACAGCACCCCCCACTTCCAAATCTAATCAGTGTGTGCCCGTGTGAGTGTGTGTGTGGAGGGGGGGGTAAACTCCTACAGACAAGAGGCAACTCAACAAAAGAGGGGAGCATCTCAGCTGGGCAGAGGCCTCCCTGTTGCCTAGACAACGGCAGTAATCCCAGAATACTCATGCGCCAGCCATTCAAAGGGCTCTGGACTCTGGAGAAAGCCCCACATACTGGGCTTTTGTACCCCTCCTCCCCACTTCACCGCTCCCCTTCTCCTACTTCAAACCCTTTGGGGGAAAAGTTTGGCCACTTCCTTCTCTCTGCACGGCCGTGGAAAGTCCATGCAGACCGCAGAGGCCTGTTCCCAGTTATGAATCATCCTCAAAGAGGATTTTATGGGGTAATAATATCGTCAGTGGTGAATCACAAACTCGCATCTGCCAATTTTACAGAAAGGAAACAAAAGACCTTTTACAGATTTAAGAACTGCATACAGCTAAAGTACTATTTTGGACAAACCTGTGAACTTTAAGGTGTTACGCAGCCACTCATGGAGGAAATGTTGATTCATAAACACAAATAATATGAAGAAAGGTTCAAGCTTAAGCAAGACCCTCTTCAGCACCAACACAGCAGACCTCGTGCAACCTGCTCTCGCCTACTCACCTTCAGTGCTAATAGGGTGGGAGTCCAGGGACAGGCGAGCTGTCCAGTCCCCTCTCAGCTCGTAGCGAAATGAGGCGATCCTCCTGCTGATGTCCTGATGCGGTGTAGCCTGCAGGAAGAGGGCCACCCTCTCCCCAGGCAGGCGGCTGAAGCAGCGCACCCTCGGCGGGGGGGAGGATTCCAGGCGGTCTCCTACCAGGAGCTCGAGGACCCCATCTCTCTCCAGGTAGAGCTGGGCTCCGTGGAACTCCTCAGAGGGCTTGACGCAGGCAGTGATGAGCCCAGAGCTGCTGCCGCTGGGGCCCACCACCATGGAGGGCAGGCGCGGAGACAGGGTGAGGCGCAGGGCTCCTTTGGGATAAAGCCAGTCCAGTGTGCCCTCGGAGCAGTGGAGAGAGATCTGCTCCACGCTGCCCTGCTGCTGGGACAAACCGCTGTGAGCAGGAGGAAAGGGGAGAGGAGACAAGGTTAAATAAAGTTTTTTTATGAAGTTTGTTCAGGCCAAACTTTCCTGAAACATCTGCACACAGCTGCAGGATGGAGGGAGAGGGGATTAAATGTGATCACTGCACATCAGCAATAAAAGTTTGATGTCTGGTGAATAAATGTCATTAAAAGTCAACTTTAATCTGCAGAGATGATGACCCTGAGTGGCATCTACACTCAACTGTAGTGTTTAGAATTTATAAATATATGTAAAAAAATTATATATATATATTGAATACTGAAAACATGTCTGTAGTAAAGAGCAGCCTCCAACAGCTGCACATGTAGTGTATATTTTCTCCATGCATGTGATTTAATCTTTCAGTCTCCTGCCCGTCTGACCCTGCGTGCCTCCCGCAGACACCCCAGAGGCGCAATCGCAGCAGAGCCCCGCAAACATTTAAACTGCACCGCAGTGACAAGTCTCGACTTGTCGCATTCACTCAAACACCGACCACACGAACAGGAGGCACCTGTAAGCGTCTCTGAGCGGTCATTTTTAAATCCTCTTTTCCATCATGCCCAGTGAACACACACTCACACACACCACAGATCAAATGGGAAATACTTGCCTGCCTCTCCAGCTGCATTGGTCTTCGGAATAGTTTGAAAGGCTCACGTGGAAAAGGCAAAAAAGTAAAATCCACACTGCGTAAATCCAAACCCCAAAGCCGGGCATGTTGGATGGATGATGCAAAGTAAGGTGGAGGGGGAAAAAAAGATTATTCCAAACTGCCGATGTCCTAAATCTCAGTGAGTAAAAAAAAGGCTATAAAACAAATAATAATCTACCTCTGATAACCTCCATAACTTTGTACCCTCTTATCCTGATGCGTATGATAAGAGAATAAAGCTTCTGCACTCTCCGGGGCCGATGTGAGCGTGGAGGTGCGGAGCTCTGAACTTATCCCCCCTCAGGAAAACTTCACGGACCAATCAGAATACAGCGAGAGAAACTTTAAACCACTCGCCCAGCAGAGGGGGCAGGGAGGGAGGTCTGACCCTGAGAGTGAGTAACTGTATGCAAGGATGGAACCGAGTAACAATTCACTATTGTGTCTGCACACAAGATACAAACGAACTGGCCTGAGTGAGGAGTGAGTGTACAGAAAGTACTGCAGTTTAAAAACACCCCCACCCCTCCTCCTCCACACACGACTGAGAAGTTTTATCACCTCCATTAGTTTCACTTCATCCTACATCGTCACTTCTGCTTGTACTTCATTTAATATTTAATATTCTAAATATATATATATATGAATAAAGTAAGTTTTTAGTGTATGTGTAGCTCAGAACAATGCTCTTACTTTTAAAGAAAGCTCTGCAGTTTTATTTCTCGGCCGAAGAACAGACACAACTCATGAATGCGAAGTAAAAGTCTGCGGATGGATACAAATATCGATCATACCAAAGCTGGTTTTGTGTTAAATTTTCTTTTTTGGAAAAGAAAAACTATACCTCAAACATGCACCATTAACCTTTTTGTGTTGACTGCAGTGCCTATTTTATTTATAGCTTATAGCACATTTAAACAGCAGCAGAAGAAGAAGTGACCCCAAATTCTTTAGCGACATGCGTATTTACACAAAACCCAGTTTCAAACTACATGGAAAGCTGAAAGGTGTGTTTTGTTGTGTTAACTAATTATTGTAAATTTTAAAAAAATCACAGGGGTCATTAAAATGTGTTTGAATTTGAAAATGAATGATGATTTATAGATTAGAAGTATCGGTATACTGGCCCTGTTTTTACTTGGCACAGCACTGACGTTAAGGTCAAATATTTAAATGAGGCGGGATAAAAACTTGGCTAAAAGAAACAGAAATAACGACTACTTTGTGAACGAGTTGAAAAGCTTGGTTTTGTGCAAAAAAAAGAAAGAAAAATCCCACTTTGTGGTGAAGCCATGGTTGTAAGATATAAGCAAACACAGAACATGTTTATTCAAAGTTATAATTAAGTATATTTGTCTACTAAAAGCTTTTCAGTGCTCTGATTTATTTTGTAGTTCAACCCTGCCCTGGCCCACTTCAAAGACCTCTAAATGTGCAGCGACTATGTAACACCTACTATTATAGAAGTAAATATCAGTTGAAACAGGGCAAATGAGCAGACGTGCAGAGTAGTTCAATAACGCTGCCCTCATTTTCACACATATATGATGGTGATGAAGATCTAGCCACCTCTGCTGGTTGTGCCCTCTGCCCTCACCGCCCCCCCGCCGTGCTTCTCTTTCATGTCGCGGTACTTATAACCAAATCAAATATTCTTTTGTGCCAGTGCTGCCATCCATCTCCCTGAGCGAGTAGCTTTCTGTGGAAGTGCATGCATTCTTGCGCCCCTGTGTGTGTCTGTGTGCGTGTGTGCGCGTGTGATAAATGTCTAGACCCCTCCGATGGAGTTATGACAAGGCCTCAGAGCAACACAAAGGCACATGTGCAGAAATCCAGCTGCTTTATTGTCTGTGGCAGGACGGAGCTTTGCTGTCTGTGGGGCATTTCAAAGGAGCAGAGTTTAAAGCACAAAGCCATGTTGGTGGTGGTGAGCTGGTGAAAGACACATGAATATATTTAGTACCTAAACTTATAGACTTCAAAGACGTGCCACTGCATCCACGTGTGCACAGTCAGGTTTGCACACTTCCACATGTACGTGTCTGTTAAAACAAAAGCTACACACACGCCTCGTGACCTTGTTATGACCTCAGCTGGAGTTACATCCAGCCTGGATCACATTCAGCGCTTTTATGTGATGTGGCTATATGTGGTTTTCTTTTTTTCTTTTTTGATGTGCAGCACTAAAATAAAACCAACAGCGTGAAATAACTTGAGCTGTGTCCAAAGCTAAGATTCTGGCCTTTTGATTTTCTTTCTGTCTCCATCACATATTTTTAAAGTAAGCACTTAACCTGTGCGGCAAAGATGTGGCATTACTCGGCACGCCGATTTCACAGGACCCTTGTGTTTGACGCACACAGCGAAAGAACAACAAATTACATAAGCTGCAATCAAACTGTGTGAGCGAGTTACGATTAAAGGTCACGTTGTGTACGTGAACCGACCGACCTGGTTGCTTCCGTCCTGCATCCAGAACAATGCCATCTTTGACTGTAATGAAACACTGCCTGTTTGTCCTCATACTTTAACCACTGAACCAGATTCCCGCAATGGTTCCTCTCCCTTCTCTCCCTCTCTCTGTGCTTCTGCTGCGTTCTCACCAGCATGCCAATGTGAATGTCTTCAAACAGTGCTGTTGTATAGATACGAGACTTTGCGTGCATGTGTTAGTCCTGTGTCTGTTTGCTTGGTAATCCTGTACTCCTCTGTAAGGGGGGACTTCCCAAACACAGAGAGGATGTAGTGGCAGTGTGGTGTTAGTGGTATTTACGGGGCCTTGACATTCTGTAACTTTCTCTCACTGTCTCTTCTCGCTGCTACGGACATAATGACAGGGGTTTAAAAAAGAAGAAGTGAGCAAGAACCACGTAGATGATGTCATATTGGGATTGTAGTGTGAAAAAAGGGGCCTACAGATTTACAATAGGAGGAAAGTGAGTGTAAAGTATGGATAAAGCCTGTATAAAAGCAGAAAGACACACAGCTTAATCGACATCTTTCAAATTTATACAGCTTTATCACCACTTTCAACTCGTTTTGATGACTTTGATCATATTGGAGCACCACAAGAACCCTGAGCTTTGGACGTTGGTGGTAAAAGAGAGTGATCACAATAACGTTGTTAAAGTTTGGCGTAGCGGCAGTAGTCTCTGAAAAAGACTTGATATGAGTCGAAAAGTTAAAGCGTCCTTGTTCCCAGACTATTCTGCAGCTTCCCATGGCACCTTGGTTCTAATCTGGTTGATCTGAAATCATTGCTGTTTGTTTTCCTGCACAGCGCCTGCTGGTAATGAGATCTAAGACCTTGTCAGGATGCTCTGATAATAAGCCTACGCTAAGGGAGGCAGTACAAATATGCCCCTCTCTCCACAGGATTGTGCTGTGTGCTGTGTTTTGCCTGGAAAATTTGTTAGGTTAGTCATGGGAAATGGTTTTAACATAACTTATAGTCTGGGACACACGCTGAGAAAAACCTTGAGACGCCAAATGTCCAAATGGATGGTGGATGGAAACGTCAAGGTTACATTGTAATGAGGGAAAAGGAGAAGGAAGAGGTGAAGAGCAGCTAAAAAAAAGTGGGGTCATGGTAGCCAAAGAGTACAAGAATCAATTTATAATAAAGCGAGCTTGTCCCGAGCTAGTCCCAAGCTAGTCATATATTATAAGCACAGTATTGAAATAGATGCTCTAGCACCAACCATCACAGAAATCACTCTTTTCACTGGTTGTGTCTCGCTGAGGAACTCCTCCGCCATATTTGACACCAGTCCCACGGACAAGTCCAGGGCCAGTCTCTTTGGTATCTGTCTATCTTCTCCATCCTGGTGCTCTGTGGTCTTCATGCTTGCGACACTTGTGTACATGTTCTGTGACTCCTCTTCCATGACTGCCCACACCTCCCATCTTTATGCAGTGTGAGCAGGTGTGGAGAATTTCTTTGATTAAGGTGTGGGTAGGAAGCCGAAAACCCCCCCAAAAAAACAAATCTATGGAGCTTGAATGTCAATATTTGGTATGAACACCTTTACTTTTCTTTACAGCCTCAATTTGCTTCTTTTCTTGTAGTTCTACAGTCTTTTTGAAGGACATTTAAAGCTCTTCTTAGGATGTTTGCTGCCTTTTGATCTGCTTTCTGTCAAGATGATCCCACACAGTTCTGGAATCTGGGGATGCCAATCCATGACTGATAGTGCTCCACTGTGTGTTTTTCTATCCATCACTGTCATGCTGAAAAATGAAGCTGTTACCAATCAAACACAAAATCTGACCGAACGTTTCTGCAATGATGTTTCCATCAGGACGTGACATGACTTTCAGACACTGTTCATCTGATGCAGATAGCTTTTCAGGCCTGTCTTTTCTACTTTAGTCCATCATTTGTTAATAACTGTGTTATCTTTGGTGTTTTTCATCATTTCAGCTAAAGAAATGAGAATAAATGATGTCTGCTAGTAATAAAGTGCCTAAAGATTTGTTAAGTTGTCTGGTGTGTGTAGCCGCAACACATAACATGTGGGTTTGCTGCTTACACTGTATCTAAGCATTCATATTAGGAATACAGGCTGTACAATGAATGCACAAACATCTGTGATGCTTCTAATAATAAAAAATTCCCACAATTTGTTAAAATCCTTTAAAAAAATGTTAAAACACATTTTGTAAAACAAATGATAACACATCTGTTATCTGAAATCAACCCTGCATCAGGACATACAGCAAAAGCAGCTTTCTGAGCCACTGCAACAACTCAGTGAGAGGACTCATTATAGTGGCGTTTCCCCACCTCTCTATGCAGGTGACGGGCTCCTGTTCTGGAGTCAGAGTCGAATTGCGGCCCGAGGTTGTGAGAAAAGCCGTCGCTCGGAGCTCGGAAAAAACTCGTGCTGATTTTTTAACCGTCCGGGCCCTCATGAGAGCCGCATGTGAAAACTGACACCTGCTCTCTCATTGCACTTTCTCAGGGTCCTGATTGTGTGTGTGTTTGTTTGTATGACAGTAAATTTCTCATTGTGCCTCTCATGTTGGTTGCATAGTGTGTGTGCGTGCTTGTGTGTTAGTGTAAAGCCCAGTGGGAAACAGAATACAAGAGGGTCCTACACCACATAAACAAAGTCAGGCAGGGCTGATAGCAAACGCAGCTGGAAACGCACAGAGGCGCCCTGAGAACGCTCTCTAATGCTTCCCTAAACATGTAATAGATCACTTAGCTCCACTGTCACAATCCTCTCGTACTCTGTGTGCTTTAAGGTTCTCTGTTGGGATCTCACATAACGTTTATATTAAGATAA